ATCCAAAAGGTAACACTGTGAATGGGTGTATGTCATCAGTGGTCCAGCGATCAGGATTGAACTTCAATGGATCCTTAAAGAGCGTAGGGTCTTGACCCATAGTTTCCAATCCACCAAATATTGTTGTCTTAAAATAAAGGATGCAGTTAAACTGTGTACCATATACTGGTTTATTTTCATGGTAAAATATTTTTGCGAATTTCGCGGGTTTGTGATCATTTGCGAAAATTTTTCACCACAAAATTCTGCTCTCCATTGCCATGCACATGGTGCAGTCTGCAAGCAATTCATGAAAATTAATTCCACGAAATCTTAGAAATGCAAGATTTGCGAAAATTTCCCACCGCAAAAATAAACCGGTATATGGTATGTCACATTAATTATACAATTACTTTTGCTGGGATATGATAATTTAACAACTCAATATCAGTTTCAAGCCATCTTGCAGTATAAGGAGTCACATGATACAATCTACATTTATATTGATTGAGTGTTGAGTCATACATGTACATGATATAACAAATTTTAACCTCTGTGTTTCTTTAATGTGATGTCCCAGGTAAGGCATCTTTTGTAAGGAATCTCCATCAGGTTCTTCATCATTGCCTAATACTGATGTTATCTGCTTATATGCTTTCTCCTGTACTTCAGGATGCTTGGATAATGTGTACAGAACAAAAGCAGTAGTGTGTGCTGTCTACATGAAAACATTGCAGTGACCAAAGACTAAAAATACCGGTATATTAAATCTCACAGTGTCCATTCCAGCAGCTAGCATGTTAATTGAGTGAGAAATGGCATCTTTAGTGCTCATTTTCCCTTCAATCAGCCATTGCTCTAGTAGACCCATCCCATGAAATTTCTCCTCACTCACAGCAGCTCTTTCCTTTATATCAGACGTGTACTGATCAGCATAGACTTGTCCGATCTCAATCAATTTATCCAAATATTTGTTAAATTCCCTGTAGGCTTTTGTTGGGAAGACTTTATAGAGTGGTGGGCCAGCCTGCAAATCAAACAAAGTATCCACAAGACCTCCTACTGCATCTTGTAACTCTTTCTCTAGGCCTCCTTTATTCTTTATGCTATCAATATCAGCTCCAAACACAAAATGAGCAGCAACTATTTTAAAGGAACAATAATAAGTTCAATATGTAATTTTTATACATTACCTTCTAGTGACCAGTATCTGATCAAGTCTCTCACATCTTCCACAAAACCATCATCATTTTGAACATCATAAACATTTCTTATAAATCTTCTTGAGACTTTATTAAAACCAGGACAATAGCCATAAACATTGGCAGGCATCAACTGCTTTCCTAGCTTGGAACGATTATCACGCCATTCTTCACCTGACCTAAGTACAAAGTGTAAAGTATGAATGAGATATTATTTCATTATAAGCTAGTCACAAAAATTGGTACCCTGGCAAAAAGTGGTCCCCCTAAACATACAATTTAGGTCCCCCTTGATTAAATTTGGTTCCCAGGGGCAAATGCTAAAAATGTTTTAAAATGCTATAAAAGCACTTACTGGAAGACAAAAAAATTCCGATCGTTCCTTTGCTTCAGAATATAATCAACGTTAGCTTCAGTAAAAGATCGGCTAGGGTACTTTCCTTCATTTCGAAATGATTTCTCTACTGCAGATGGATCTGCTACAAATACTGAAGAATAGCCTAGAATTATTAAAGTAAAAATAATTATAAATAACATTACTGTAGCCATATTTGTAAACAATAATAGATAGACAATAAGTTAGTAAATAGAATCCCCTAAAGGCTACATTTCATAAAAACAATGGTGTCTTTTTTATAAAATAAAATTTATATTTATATAACTTCAATAAAATGGGGATGATCTACATGTATTGAGTATTTTTGATTACCTATAAAGTCAAATCTGAATATCTTTCCGTGCTCTTTAAATAGCTTGAAAGCGAGTTCACTCAAAGATATGTCTTTTAATAGCCTTATGTGTCCAATGAAAGGTAATGATCCAGGAGGGCTGGGTATGGCGGAGAATGGCTTCACCTCGGGCTTCACGGCCTTGTCTTGTACTGAAGACTCGGCTTTCTCTACTCTAGAGCTAGTAGCCTTCCATCTTATACCGCCTGTCAGGGCTAGCCGTCTCTGCCAACTACAGAAACGAATCATTTCCAAAATCCAAATTGAAACAATTCACCAGATGACTGAGAATTACACTCAGCAAAATTAATTACATTCACACCTACTACAAATAAAATGAGATTCATTGTTAACTCTAGATTTAATAATGATAAAGATTATATTTATATTTTTAAAAATCATTTTAAAGTTGCAAGTAGATCCTCTTTTGATGATTCGTAGCAACTTTCCTTCCACTTTCTTCTAATGTCCTTCAAAGTTTCACCCAATTTTTGTCCACTAGCTATACCAGCCTTCTTCAAGTCATTACCATTCACAGGACACACTGGTACCGTCCATCCCTCTAGCTCAGTGCTATCAGGGAATCGGTTACAATACTTGAGCAATTCCAGTACATGATTCCTAAACTCTCCATCAACTAGCTGATCCTTGTAATACTTCAGTGGTGCTCCCTGATAGCAAGCTTCTCTCTCATTGCTCACAAAGATTCCTAGCTTCCGCTCCAAATTCGATAGTTTCCATTGTCTACTAAACCTCTCGACTTCCTCTCCCGATTTGAGTAAAGAGACTAATAAACAAACTGGCTCCAACTGATAGTGTCTGTGCATGCTCTCCCATACTTTAGTCAACTCATTCAAATTACCATCATCAGGCAAACCTAACGTAAAGAAACAAGACAACATTCTGAATATTCTTAAAGCATACCAGTATTGCTTGAACAGGTAAATAATCCTAATGATAGCTTAGAGTGACTTTTAATTTTGGGTAATAAATTTTGTAATTTTAGCACTAGGTAGATTTTGCCGGTATTAAAAATTATAATTAAGTAATTATTATTAATAGTTACATGGCATTATTAATAAGCCTTAAGGTATTATATGCATGCAGTAAATAAATACATGTACATGCATAATGGTCTCAATTAATTACCTATATTAGCTGCCACGCCCAGTTCATACATTAGACTAACGAGATGCGGCGAGTGGTTACCGACCAGTATACGACTCATTTCGCTCCATATCCTCTCCACTGATATCTTAGTGAGACCCACAGCATTATCCCTAATGGCAATCAGCATATCTGGGTCATGGGCATTGGGTAGAAGGCATATACGACCATAAAACCTAGTGACAAAATAAATAATAATAATAATAATAAATACAGGTTTATACAGTGGCTATAGCCAAAGGAACAAGGTAAGGTTTTATTTTTAAAAATTGTGAAAGGCAATTAAATTATTACATAACGTACAAGCAATAAGGATTAAAACTATCACAATAATCAATAGAAATTTGATATGTAGGGTGACAAGGCATGTACATAAAGAGAAACTCTCTGGGGAGCATAAACAATGAATTTATTATCATTGAAAGTACGTGCACATGTACATGTACAATTATGTGCACAAAAAACATAGTCATTTATGATAGCAGACTAAAAACATCAATTACCTGAAATATCTCAGTATCCTAAGATAGTCTTCCTGTATCCTTGATACAGCATCTCCCACAAATAATAACTTTCTCTCTGCAAGGTGTTTCTGACCGTCGAAATAATCATAGAGTTTTCCGTCAAAACCAAGACTCATCGAATTAATAGTAAGGTCCCTTCTCTCGGCGTCTTTGACCCAGTCGGAGGTGAACTGAACAAGAGCGTGTCTTCCATCAGTCACGTGGTCTATCCTCAGTGTCGTTATCTCATAGTCGTTGGATTGATCAGTGTGGACCGTTATAGTCCCGTGATTGAGACCAGTTGGTATGTACCTATGTGTGTTAAGAAAACTTTATAATGAGAATTCACATAATTGAAATCCATGAATTGAAATGTACAAATATCGCAAAATAATATAGGCAGGAATTTAAAATTCCAATCACAAAAGTCACCAATGTATATTCATTAAAAATTAATGTACCAATTAATTTCATTAATTAGTTGTACTAATTAATTTCATTAATTAGTAAATAAAGCCAAGTAGTACATTGACTATACCGTATAGCGGGATTTATTGACGAGTAAAAAATTTGACGAAAACAGTAAATTTCCCCAGTTGGCGAGTTTTAATTTAACGAATAGTGCCCTTCGTGTACACGTGGCACAAAGTACAAATTTTTGACAGTTATTAAATTTGACGTTTTATTTTAAATTGTCAACTCGTCAAAATAAAACCTTTGTCAATAAATCCCACTATACAGTATATGGTAGTATCTGCTAGCACGCTTAAGGCATGTGAACAGTTGCAACTAACTGCAGCACAAAAGAAAAGATTGGCATATTATATTTTTGAAATTTTTTGATAATATGAACCTGCATGATCATAAAGGAAAGTGTTAAGTGCACTGATACATGTGTATGTGTGTAAGCAAAAGTCCATTGTATATAATGGACTCTTGGTATAAGAGAAATAATTAATAATGAATCATGTCTGTCAAATAACGTCTATGTTAACATTACAAACGGGTCCAGCTGAAGGTCTGGAGGTAATATAATGAAACTGAGAGAATTAGAACGCTGTAGTTGTTGTGATTCGTTAAACTTGGAAGAAAGAGACCCCTCATCACTTAAAGGTGGAAGGTTGCATTGAGGAGGAGGAGAAGTATCAATATATCGAGACAAAAAGGTTTCATTACGGAAGCAAATGTCATCTTTCCACACTAGAAAGGTACCATTAAGAGCTGTTTTGTATTTAATTGGCCCTTTGCAGTCTACCACCTGTAGTTGAGTAAAAGAAATGACTAGAGGTTAGGAAATACTAACCTCAACAATAAAGAAGAGTGATACTGATACCACCAACAAGCTGAGAGGAGTCATCAAATAAGAAGCCATCACACAAGGCTTGTCTTGTATCCCACCGGAACCGGTATATGCAGTACATGTGGTATATGAATGTATAGAATGATGTGGGTTGACCTGATTGGTTGCCGGTTACGTGTCAATTTATTGATATATTTTTAGAACAGCATTCGTGTCTTAATTAAATTAAATACAATTACACATGGTCACAAGTATGCATACATGCATACCAGTATATTATTGAAACAAACTTATAGTAGCTATATTGTATAAACATTAATTACAATTATTGGAAACTGGCTATTTTTTAAAGATTTTGCAAAAATTGATTTTGCATATTAAATTATTACAAATTAGCTCAAGTGCTAAGCAGTAAATCTGTATTAACACTACACGTATTAGAAAAAATCACAAAATAAGCAGCAGGTAAATTCAAATATTTATAATATAATAATGCAGCCCTCATCATGAATTCACGCCTTTGTTTTGACTTATTATTGTTGTTGTTGTTATTATTATTATTATTGGGGCGAGCATGAGCAAAGCCCCTCTAAATCCAGTCTCAATTGAGAGCTCGCAATGTGTATTCTGTATACCTTCTAATTATGAAATTGGCTGAAAATGCCTCCTCTTATTAAGTGTAAAAAGAAATATTGAAATGGGGACAGTTGGTAGGAGGGTGTGGTCACAATGAACAAGATGGCGGCATTTAAACAGGACAAACTTTCACATTTTCTAACAGCTAGATAAGAGAGAGGAGCTACATGTATCTCAAGCATCTCTAAAGGCTAGTCCATCAGCTCTGTAAAGTCTGGAAACTTAAGTAAACTCTATAAGAGTAATTTTGGTGAGCTACAGTGCTTGTGCAAGTTTTTTGGTGAAGAATATTTTAGCCTGTACACTTTGATTCCGAGGCTAAGACTCTCCTGGATTACTCCTCTCATCGATAGAACTAAGAATGTGAGAAGAGCTTGACTCTAAAAGTTTAGCTTTGGTTCTTAGTGACAGCACTATTTCTTGTCTCTTTTATTGGTTTGTTAGTAGGTGATTGGTGATATTTGCTCTGTTCAGGCCCCTTTGGAGTCTGAGTACATGTATGTATGTAGGTATATAATGGTCTTGAAATGAGAGGTGAATCTTCTTTTCTTTCTCAAGAGCTAGATTAGAATCATTTTATTTTATTTTCATTTTACAATCTATGATATTTGCTCTGTTCAGACCCCGACCATGAGGTCAGGGTCTGAATATGCATGCAGGCAATGGTCTCAGAGACTAGAGAGATAAATATTCTTTTCTCTCTCATTAGACTAAGAGCTAGATTAGATTCATTTTAATTTTATTTCAGTAAAGTCAAGCTAAGCTGCGTCGATAGCTCATGCTTGCCCCCATAATGACATATTAAATCAAATTAATATTACAGTAAAAGATTATAGACATTATATTATATTGTATTAACCTAATGTTTGTGGTTATAAAAGTTTTCAAAATTATTATTAAAATTATTATCAAAATTATTCAAATACATATTGTCATTTTTAATACATGAGGACGTACGAAATGAAATTAATACAGTAAAAGATGATAGACATTGTTAAATTTCTGTATACGCCATATATTTCGTGGGTATAAATTTCATGATTTGGCTGCATTTTTGTATTTGCAAATAAAAATTTCGCGATTTTAATGTAATTACCACACCTACTATACAATTAGCATACTATTTTGCGGATTTTAATTTTGTAATTTTTTTCAAAACGAGACAATCGCAAAATTTAATTCCCACGAAATATATGGCGTATATGGTACTAATCTGTCACTTTATACATGTATATAATATATTGTTTCTTACCTGATTCCTTCTCTCTCAAACAGTTTTATCATTCCATCAGGAGTGCAGTCCGTTGCTAGGTCAATATCCTTAGCATTTCTCCCCAGCAGGAGGTCACGGACGGCTCCACCAACCAAACGCAATGAGTAACCTTCTGACCTGAATAACTCCTCTATTCTTAAAAGATCTAGAGAATAATAATAATAATAATAATAATAATAATAATACATAATACATAATACATAATAATAAAAATAATAACAATAATAATGATGATGATGGTGATGAGAATGATAATAATAATAATAATAAGATGAATATTAAATGTACAGCAGATTTTCTAATTTGCAGTATGCTCAACCATTTAATATTAAAATCAAAACACCTCTTCCAAGAAACTGCTCCAACAAAACCAACCAGTCCCATTAATAATAATAATAATAATAATAATAATAATAACAAAAATATTTCATAATTTGCAGTCATATGATTGCTGATTTCTGAAACTCCCAATTAATAAAAAATCATAATATATTTCACAATACCTGCCACTACAAAACCCATCAGTCACAACATTATTTATTGTATATAGTCAAATACAAATTAATTTGCAGCCATTAATTCTAATAACGTTACCAGGAGTCAATAAGCTTTTAATTGAGGTGT